GTGCACGCGTGCACAGAGAGAGATTGATTCTGCTACTCTAGGTGGTATCCTTTAATCTTAATAAGTAAATCTTGAGGAAAATCTGACACCCTAATTTAAGGGTAATTCTGTAATCTGGGAAAAAACCAAACTATATTGTTAAAAACTTTGCTTGGTTTTTTCCTTGACTAATAACAAGTTACATACTTATTTTAAAAGTCAGTAACCAGAAAGAAAACTTTTCACATGATTATGAATTGAGTTAAAGCGGTGCACCTGTTTTGATCAGCACAAATAGTACCTGTTAACTGGTAGTTGCTCAGTTACCCTTAGTTTAATACATGGGAAACTGGATCATTCTGGAAAAGTGATAGTTTTGCTATTGAGAACACATTTTTAAAAAGATGTTTATGCTGGTTATAGTCTAAACGTAATGTTATTACTTTTCCCATTTGTGTTCTTATTGAAGTTTAAAAAAAACAGTTCATAAGTGGTGTTTCATTTTGACAGATTATAGAGTTAAGGTTGAGAATAATTAGAGAAACATGAACCTTAGCCATGACTTCACGACAGTCAATATAAAGAGAAAGAGAGGACAATGAGACGTACCTAGTATTATATGAAAAAATCCACCTGAAAGTGGATTATTTAAGAAACATTAAATTTTGCTTTAGAATTTTTGTGTCAGTTATTATGGCAATTCAGGAGGAAAACTGAAACATTGTTTTGCTCATATTACTTAGATGTGTGATTTTCATAGAGATAAGCTTCATTAATGTCACAGTGGGTGAAGCAGTCAGCTGCCCCCACGTGGGTCTGTCAGAGGGTGGACGCCAGGTGAAGGGTTCCTTTCTGGTCATTCCCCTCTGCGTGTTCCCCAGTCACTGGCCGGGGCAGGCCCTCTGCTCTGGGGGACACACTGTGCTGGGCAGGGCTTAACCAGACTCACCTGTGGTCATGTCATTGACGCCACAGGGGGTCATGAGGACGGGTGGGTATTTGGGGTGTCATGCTCCAGAACTTTCTCTCTGGCGTGGAGTGGAGGTCCGGAGGAGCAGGGTGAACAGATACTTGGGAGAAGGGTGTTCTGGGCAGAGCTGAGTGGCGGGATTGGCCTGGGTGGGTGCCCCAGAGGTGCTGTGACACCACGAGAATGCCCATGCACTCGTGTCTCTGTCCCTCTGGGGCCTCACTGAGTTGCAGGAGTTTCAGTTACTCTGTGGCCTCCACTGAAATGCTGTTTTATGAAGTAATTGTTCTATTCTTTTTCCAGGTGGTGACAGCTACGGGGACACTTGCCTTAGGAATCAACATGCCTTGTAAATCAGTGGTTTTTGCTCAAAACTCGGTCTATCTGGATGCTTTAAACTACAGACAGGTACTGCAGTGTGCATAAACTCAAATATGACTGCACTCTCAGACATGGCCAGAAAATAGTAAGAAACATGAGCCTTTAGTCTGTACTCATGCTGCATTGGTGGGCACAGTCATTTGAGCCCAACAGGCACTTTCAGCTGTGCTGTAGCTGGCAGCTCCTGAGCCTGGCATTCGGTGGCTGTTACCACCAGGTACGTGACCTTGGGTGAGGTGTCTGCATGGCCTGGCCCCTCTGTCCTGTCTCCAGGACTGATAAATGCTGTCCCACAGCATTTGCAGGAGTTGAATGAAGCAGTTTTTAGGGAAGACATGAGTGGGAGCTGCTGGAGAAACACTCCCTCCCACTTCCGAATGTCCTTGCCTTTGTCTTTGCCCCAC